TAATCTCAGCTACTCAGGGAGGCTGAGACAGGAGGATTGCTTGAGCACAGGAGTTTGAGGCTGCAGTGAACTGTGATCACACCACCGCATTCTAGCCTGGGTGACAGAGCAAGACTTTGTCTCTTTATGCATTTTTAAAATTTTTATTTATTTTGAGATGGAGTCTTGCTCTGTTGCCCAGGCCGGAGTGCAGTGGCGTGATCTCAGCTCACTGCAACCTAAGACCTTCCCTAACAGCCTTCCTAAAGCTGCTAACAAGTTTTCCAGTTATAGGCCAATTAATACTTAGCAAATGCCAGCAGGGCACGGTGGCTCACGCCCATAATCCCAGCACTTTGGGAGGCCAAGGCGGGTGGATCATGAGGTCAAAAGTTCAAGACCAGCCTGGCCAAGATGGTGAAACCTCGTCTCTACTAAAAGTACAAAAATTAGCACGGCACATTGGCAGGCACCTGTAATCCCAGCTACTTGGGAGGCTGAAGCAGAAGAATCACTTGAACCCGGGAGGTGGAGGTTTCAGTGAGCCGAGATTGCGCCACTGCATTCCAGCCTGAGTGACAGAGACTCCGACTCAAAAACAAAATAAAATAACGTGGCAAATACCTACAGACCAAAGAAACTACAAGCTCTATTTAAGATCTTTGAATGCCCATTTCAAGCCCTCTTCCCACTTTCCAATAAGCAAGTTGACTCCCTGGTCTTCAATTAAAACCATGGTCTTTCAGAAGAAGTGGCAAAAATGGACAAATGCCACAGGCTAAGGCCCTAAGGGTGGGGCTTGTATATGCAGAATGCTGCTTACTGGATGTTCAAAGAACATACCTAAGGACATGGTCCATCCATATCTAATGTCACGGTCAAAGCTGAGCCTTTCCATCTAGTTTGTCTTATGATTAGCTAAGCCAACTATCTGAGTTGAGATCAGCCAACTAATAGATCTCACTCACGACAATAAAGACACATATATGAGGGTGTCAAGAGGACCCAGTAATTTCTTCATCAGAAGTCTTAGAGATTTCTTTCAGGTGATCTTTCCCTAGCTGTGTTGGTTGGGAATGGCATGCAGGGGAAGTAACTGGCTTGCTCTTTGGTTACTAGCTATGTCAGCTTCAATTCCTGGTACTTGGTCACCCACCCAGTCAGATTTAAATGGCAACCCACCTGTAACACCACCCTGCCCACAGAGCATGAGCTTATCTCGAATTCAAGGATTGAAAAAAATATTATAGTCTAGACTGCCCATAAGATATAGAAGAGAAATTTAATAGGGAAGGTAGAAAATTGATGTTATACCCATTCCATAAAAATGAGCTACTTCCCATTTGGCACTGATCCCCACGTGTAACGTCAAAATCCTGAACTAGCAGTAAGACTTGAGACTGATGCTGAGATGAATACAGTCCCAGAGTAGAAGGAAGTGTGCTCAGAAGTGCTACAGAGAAATTCTGACGGAGGTCCAACCTAGGGAAGAGAGCCTCAGAGAAGCCCTCCTATCTTGTATTCAGAAGCCAGTGATGGCCATGGCCATGATGGCACCATAGCATTTACCACTTCCTGTTTCCACTGGGATGGAGGATTCAAAGTGGACGAAAGAATGCAGAATTCTTCCTTCCTCCTCCTTTCAGACTTCCATTGTGGATTAGAGCTATCTATCCTTTTGCAGACACACAGGAAATAGTGATTATTACCTTCATCTGGAATTTCAGATGAAGGTAATAGTAACATTATCTTCATCTGGAATTACTCCATTTGATGTCCATTCCTTTGGAATAAATATTCACTCTTTCCAAAACTGTACTCCACCAAACACATATTCTGTAAGATTTTAATAAATATTCCTTCAGGAAAAAAAAAAAGGATCTCTAGTTAAATACGTTTGAAAAATGTTACATATTCTACTTCCCTTTTGGAGTTTTACAATGCATATTAAAAGCTCTTTTTGAGGTGGAGGCAGCTGGACAGCTAACATGAAATCCAGGGCAAGAGCTCAACGAAGCTAAGAGCCTTGTTCTAGAAGGCAGCGGGACAGACTAGCATGACATCTAATTAGCCCAAAGAGTAGATGGCAAAGTTCAAGGTGGTCAACACAGGGAGATCTGTGCATGGACAGAACTCTACCTACTAAAGCCTAGATGCAAGAAAAGGCTCTAGTATCAGATAAGTGACCTGGCCAGGGGAAGGGTGGACAGTCCCTGGTGAGGGACTGACAGCAGGGCTTTAGTCCTGGACAGGGTTAGGAAGTCCAGGCAGAGAAACAAGACAACGCTTGTATTTCTAGGTAAAAGTCAAAATAAAGGTGAGACGGCGGGAAAGCAGAAACTGATAGGCAGAGAGCTGTCATTCAGGGCACAGAACACATGCCCAGGAGTTCCTTCCTACTGGAGACACTGGTTCTAATATCCTAGTGATCAGCAGATCCTGCTTTCCACTAGACCTCATGTATGAGGCTGCAGGGGTTGAGAGGAGAGAAAATGATGTGGGAGGTTCAGAAATCTCAAGTAGTGCTGATTCCATTAAGGTAGGAGGTACAGACCTTGCCAAACTTGGGGGATAGGGAGGAGAGGCCGTTCCTAGGCTGCCCACTAGGGAAATGTGTCCAAAAAAATTAGCTACAACCCAAGAGTCCTCAGTAAAGCCAAAAGTCTGGATCAAAAATAAGGTGCTCTAGACTTAGGATATGAATACGGACAGTGAAACTGAACCTCAGGGTGGAGGCATCTATAAACCCAATTGTAAGGAGCTCAGAAAGGCACTGAGATTTGAGTTGCCTCTGCAAAATATGCCCTTAGGGGAGAAAATGCTGTGAGAATTCTAATTATAAAGGCAGTTAGAGAGCACTGGTGAATGAAAGATGATGCCAAGTCAACTAGGAAGGGTCTCTCTTTGGCAGAACTCAGGCCAATAAAGTCGTATGCCTTCTTTGGGAGGCCAAGGTGGGTGTATCACCTGAGGCCAGGAGTTCGAGACCAGCCTGGCCAACAAGGTGAAACCCCATCTCTACTAAAAATACAAAAATTACCTGAGTGTGGTGGTGCGTGCCTGTAATCCCAGCTACTTGGGACGCTAAGGCGGGAGGATCACTTGAACCCAGGAGGTGGAAGTTGCAGTGAGCCAAGATTGCTCTACCGCACTCCAGCCTGGGTGGCAGAGTGAGACTCTGTCTCAAAAAAAAAAAAAAAAAAGTTGTATGTCTTAATCACAGGGACTATCTTCACAGCTTCTGGATCAGCTATTTTGGCTCCACAAAATTAGTGCACAAGGAGAACTGTACCTTTGCATGGACACCTCAAGTGCTTTGTCATTGCTTCTGGCATGGCTTATTTTGCTTTCCGGTAAAGCTCTTAGCATAGCTCATTGGGAAATTGAGACCAGAAGTTGTCCGTGACCACCAGCCACGAAGGAAATGCCCTACCCTTGTTGCCACTGGTGGCCTCTTTTGCGCCACCATTTTGCATCATTTCTCGGAAGCTGTGCCTTCCCCCTTCTAAGATCTGTGACAGTCTTGTCTGAAGACATCACAGTAAACCACAGACCCAAAGGTCCAGCACTCCTGGTTACATTCTAGCTGTCAGCAGCTCTCCACACAACACTGTGCCTCCATCCGAACGTGCTGGTGGGAAATCTGTCTACTCAGCATACCCTCTTTGGGGGTCATGGGCCTCCATAACCATCACCCTCAGCTGCTTGTTTTTTCTCAGACAAAACTGCGAAGGAAACCAAGTATTTCTTTAGGGACCCAGCATCTCTCTTCAAGGCCTTTATCTCAAACTCATTGGCGTCTCCTTCCTGTCCCTACAACTAGGAGCACAGTGCCTTCTCCTCTCTATCCCTTCCTCAGTCTAGTTCTCAGAAATCAATCTTATAAACTCATTCACACTTCCACTTAACATGACCAAGATGTTTCACAATCAAAACCCTTCCTGGAGTCTCTTCATTTTTAACAGGGTCTCAAAGATTTAAATCAAGAAAAAGAAATTTCAATTGTGGGATTCCAAGCAATAGCAAACAGCCAGGGCAAGTTTTTGAGGGGCAGGACACATTCTTGGTGCCTGAAATTATACCACTTGACAGACCAGCTCTTTGTATTCCATCACCTGACACCTTCGAGCCAACTCTTCCGCTAGCCCAGGGGCCAGGATCCCTGAATGTGTGCCAGCACCCACTGCTATCTGTCTCCCTTGGAAAAGAAAAAAAGAGACACACATAATTTTTTGTTTGTTTTTTGAGACGGAGTTTCACTCTTGTTGCCCAGGCTAGAATGCAATGACACGATCTCGGCTCATGGCAACCACTGCCTCCCGGGTTCAGGCGATTCTCCTGCCACAGCCTCCCAAGTGGCTGGGATTACAGACATGAGCCACCACGCCCAGCTAATTTTGTATTTTTAGTAGAGACAGGGTTTCTCCATGTCAGTCAGGCTCGTCTCAAAGTACCGACATCAGGTAATCCGCCCGCCTCGGCCTCCCAAAGTGCTGGGATTACAGGTGTGAGCCACCGCGCCTGGCCGAGACACCTCTTATTTACTCACTAATCATTCAATGTTAACAGTCACACAACAGGTGCCACCAGCTCCAGTACATGCAATAACACACCACACCCTCACCTCTAGCCCCATCACAGCTGACTTTGTGAGCCACATCAACAGATTTTATGTAGATGATAGGACAGAGCCACTTTAGTAGCAAACCAATTACCAGTGGTGTTTTGACACGTGTGGCCTACACTGTGATGAAGAACAAAGACTTCTTGAAATCCTCACCTACAGCCAATTGGTATCTTTCCCACATATGTTGTTGCAGCATCTCTATATATAGAATCTAGTACTCTATAAACAGAATGTTCTAGCTAAACACGTACCAACAAGCAAAATCGCGAGGTAGGTAAAGACAGCATCTCATCACCCTTCTTTCTCCCACTCTTTCCTAAATCTCACCAGGGACAGAAAAGCTCTGTGAAAACAGCATGGGTTTTGGCGTTGTACAGACTTGAGGAGAAATAAATCCTAGCTCAGCCCTTTTATTAGCTGTGTGACCTTGGACAAGTTATATAACTTCTTTTTCAGCTTGCTCACGTGCAAAAAATGGGAATACTTTATTGGTTTGTACTACAATTAAATTATATATGAAAGCATCTAATACATGCCTGGCTCTCAATGGACACAAGTTTCTGTTATCCATCTAAACTATCATGTACCTGGTATCCTCAAGCTATCAAAGCCAATGTGTATGCCCCACACAAATCTTCCTTTTCTTTCCTAAACCCTATTGAAGCTGCCATCCCCTACAAGAGCTGATCTAATCACACTGTTAAAAGGAATGCAATTCTGATGAAATGAATTCAAGTAAAACATAAACAACATTGCTGGGTTTCTATACTAACTCTGGGTTGGCGGGTATTTCTGCATTTAAAAAAGAAGCCTGGTTGGGAGGCCGAGGCAGGTGGATCAATTGAGGTCAGGAGTTCGAGACAAGCCTGGCCAACATGGTGAAACCCCATCTCTACTAAAAAACAAAAATTAGCCAGGCATGATGGCACACACCTATAATTTCAACTACTTGGGAGGCTGAGGTGAGAGAATCACTTAAACCCAGAGGCAGAGGTTGCAGTGAGCCAAGATCACACCACTGCACTCCAAGCTGGGCGACAGAGCGAGACTCTAAAAAAGAAGCCTGGAAATTCAAATGAGAGGCAGGATGTGCAATGGTGAGGTTCTCCTAAAGGACAAGAGACCAGTATTCACCTTTTCCACTGCAAGCACAGCCTCTTTTCACTCTCTCTGCGGAAGATGAGAAACCAATCCGAGCTACAGAACACCAGCTCAGATTGCTGAATGTCACACCTCAAATCAACAGCAGGTCCAGAATAGAACTTGGAGCCTTGGCTACCCCTCCTGCTCTAGTCAGCACATGTCACTTCCTTACCCAGGAAGTTATGGTGTTGTTTTTTTGTTTTCCCTAGGAGGTTTCCAACACTATTTTAAACTCTTTGGACTCAAAGCAACAGGATTTGACTATGGTCACAGCCTTGAAACTGTGTGTGGGAGGCCTGGACCTTACTTCTAGCATCACACCTTTTTTAAATGGTCTCAACAAGGCCCAGATTAATACAGGTGGTACAATGAACCTATGTCTTGACTTGTCTCTTAGTGATCCAGGAAGGAGGATCACAGAGAAATTTCTAGGTTTTCCACATACAGGATCACAGAAGCAGATTATTCAGGCTAAAATCAGCCTAAGTATAATCATGTGACACATGTGCTATGCTGACTATAAATCACAATTCAGCATGGGAATTCTCATTATTAGGTACTCTTTGGCAGTATGTATGTTCTCCTTTGACTTTCCTGGCAAGACCCTAGTGAGCTAAGGGCACTAGCTCAGGCTAGGGTCTGAGAAGCCAAACACCCTTGGGGGAGGGAGGGTGGTGGAAAAGGCTGGCTGGCAGCTTCAGCAGGTGGTATAAAGGGGAACTGAAGGTGAAGTCTAGGGTGAGGGAAGGACTGGTCCAGGCAGGATTACTCAACAGCATGTGCTCAGGGAACTGGCAAAACAAGAACAACAACAACAAATATTTTAAGTTATTTTATATTTATCAAAGTGGTAACCATGGTAAAAATCAGAATTTTGCTGCATTTTCTTTACATTTTGCTAGGTTTCTTTATACTTATTTTGCATTTACACTGTTTTTAAAATACATACTGAGGGATGAAAGTATGAGGGACATCATAATTTTTCTATTGCTTAAGACTGTTAAACAAATTCTTAATCTGGCCTCTAACTTCAGGAACAAGCAAGGAAAGCCAAGAGTTTGAACTTTCCAGGTCAATATTCATTTCTTCATTCAATAAATATTTCTTGAGGGATTAGTAAGTATCAGGCCTTTGCTCAGTCCTGGGATGCAGCAGCAAACAAAAGAGATGTGGTTCCCGGAGTTCAGTTTACTGAGAGTGGGTAAGAACAAGAACAGGATCTAAAGCCAAAAGTCTTATTGGAAAAGAGGCAAGATTCCACAGCCAGCAATGAAATGCCAATAGAAAAGCCCAGGGGCAGGCAAGAAGCTATTCAGGGAGACGAGCTGATTCAGAAAATGGTCTCATCCCCTCACTCACTTTGACAGGGGAGACAGCCACTGTGGTAGGTTGAATTCATCAATGTAAGTGCCCTCACAGCCAATGCCACCATGAAACTGCCCCTTCTCTGTTCACAGCCATGTAACTATAAGCTATGTGCAAGATCTTGAAAGCTCCAAAGAAAAACACAAGATTTGAATTGTCTACTGACAGAAATTCTAGAAGGTATACAACGCCAGAAGTGGGAAGTACAAAACCAACTGCCAGAGGCAGCTGGGGGATCCTCCCCCGACATTGTCACCACACTTCTCTGACACTGCACGAAAAGTAAAAATAAACACAGAATAGGAAAGGGAAAATAAAGGGGAGCGGGGAAGAGGGATTGAAGAAGAGATCGGGTGAGATGGTCAGGCTACAGTCAGAAGCCTCGTGAGAGGAGTTTCCGATTTACGGTATGAAGCAGGCAAGACATGAAGAAAGGCTATGGCCTGATGTGTTAGAAAAATGAGTCACGGGCCAGGTGTGGTGGCTCATGCCTGTAATCCCAGCACTTTGGGAGGCTGAGGCAGGTGGATCACAAGGTCAAGAGATCGAGACCATCCTGGCCAACACAGTGAAATGCCATCTCTACTAAAAATATAAAACTTAGGTGGGCGTGGCGGCGTGTGCCTGTAATCCCAGCTACTCAAGAGGCCAAGGCAGGAGAATTGCTTAAACCCGGGAGGCGGAGGTTGCAGTGAGCCAAGACTGCGCCACAGCACTCCAGCCTGGTGACAGAACGAGACTCTGTCTCCAAAAAAAAAAAAAGGGGCCGAGCAGGGTCGCTCACCCCTGTAATCCCAGCACTTTGGGAGGCCGAGGTGGGCGGATCACGAAGTCAGGAGATTGAGACCATCCTGGCTAACATGTTGAAACCCCATCTCCACTAAAAAAGCCGGGCATGGTGGCAGGCGCCTGTAGTCCCATCTGGAGGCCGAGGCAGGAGAATGATGTGAACCCGGGAGGCAGAGGTTGCAGTGAGCTGAGATCGCGCCACTGCACTCCAGCCTGGGCGACAGTGTGAAACTCTGTCTCAAAAAAAAAAAAAAAAAAAGAAAAGAAAAAAGAAAAATGAGTCATTCCAGCAGCTCAGCTCCAGCACGGTCAGAACGTGATGGCCATGGTAAAGGTGGAGAGCCAACAACAGCAACAGCAGGAGGTACAGAATCTATGCACAGCCAGCACAGTAGGGGCCTACAGAGATCTCAAAGTGTTTGACTTCTCTGGGCCTCAGTTTCCTTTATCTGAAAATGAATATGGTAAGAGTGTACATTAATTACCTAGGACTGCCATAAAATTACCACAAACTACATGGCTTAAAACAACAGAAATTTATTCTCTCGCAGTTCAGGAAGCTACAAGTCTGAAATCCAGGTGTCAGTAGGGCCATGCTCCCTCTGAAGGCCCTAGGAAGAATCCTTCCTTGTCTCTTCTAGTTTCTGGTGGTCGCTGGCAATCCTTGGAGGGCTGCAGCCATTCCTTAGCTGGCAGCAGCATAACTGCAATCTCTGCCTCCATCTTCATGTGGTCATCTTCCCTCTGTGTCTCTCTCTTCTTATGACAACACCAGTCACTAGACTAGGACTTCCCAGTTAAACTTCATCTCAACTTGATTATGTGTGCAAGGACCGTATTTCCAAGTAAGATCACATTCATAGGTTCTGGGGCAACATGAATTTTGGGGGATGCTATTCAATTCGGTACAGAGCACCAACCTCCTAAGAAGTTTATACATGTAAGGTATTATACTTAGGACCATGACTGGCACACAATATGTGTTGTGTAAAGGTTGGCTACTCTTCTTCAACATCTCTGGCAGGTAGCTGTTGCCAAAAGGGTATGTAGGTGTGTTCTGTTATGTAAGAATCACCCTCCCTCCATTTTGAGTCAGAGGCAAGAAACTGAATGAAACTAGAGTTCTGAAATAAGCAGATTAGGGCAGAGCTAGAGCACACGTTTATTACCATTCAGTACCCCTTATCAATATCCTAGCAATATTCTCAGGTTGGAGTGAAAAAATACCTGCTACAAGCACTTGTTTTTTGAACAACATAGACTTTATCATTCCAAATGAACAATGGCCCTTCAAAGCAGTCCCCTTGTTAGGATCTGCCTTGGAAGACCCTTCAGAGCCAGCCAAGAAGCTGCAGCAGAGAGACAACAGTCTCGTAACTTACAATTCAGACTGTGAGTTCTGATCCCAAACTGTTTTACATGGTATATTCACCTCATGGTTTGGTAATGAAATGACCTTTGGCTGTATCCAAACATTAAATCCATTCTCTGAGATGGAGATTTGCTATTTCTGAGGATGTGATATTCAAAATAACAAGCCACTTTCAAATTAGGGAAGAGGAGAACAGATTAAAGGCTCCTGCTCTTACTTCTCCTTCTCTAATGAATGAATTTGGGACAGCTACCCAACTGAAAAAAATACATAAGGCGGGGCGCGGTGGCTCACGCCTGTAATCCCAGCACTTTCGGAGGCCGAGGCGGGCAGATCACAAGGTCAGAAGTTCGAGACCAGCCTGGCCAACATAGTGAAACCCAGTCTCTACTAAAAATACAAAAGTTAGCCTGGAATGGTGGCACGTGCCTGTAGTCCCAGGTACTTGCAAGGCTGAGGCAGGAGAATCGCTTGAACCCGGGAAGCAGAGGTTGTGGTGAGCCGAGAACACGCCACTGCACTCCAGCCTGGGCAACAGTGAGTGACACTTCGTCAAAAAAAAAGAAAAGAAAAAAGAAATACAGCCAGATTCCAACCACTCTCTTCATATCAAAATAAATACCAGATGGATCAAAGATTTAAATTTAAAGATAAAAGATTTAAACACACAGAGTACTCAAAAAGAACAAGTAACTATTTTTATAATTTTGAGGTGGGGAAGCATGCTTTTTCTAAACATTGGTCTAGTAGCAGGAAAAATTATAAGGGAAGAGATTTTCTGACTACCTAAAAACGTAAAATTTGCATACAGAAAAAAAGCTGCATAAACAAAGTTGAAAGGAAATGACAAAATGGGAACAATTCTGTATTATATATGATAGTCGACACGTTAAGTCTTACAAATAAAAAAAAATTATTGGAAAAAATGTGCAGGCAAGGTGCAGTGCTTCACACCTGTAACCCCCAATGCTTTGGGAGCCCAAGGCGGGAGGAGCACTTCAGTCTACAGTTCAAGATCAGTCTGGGCTGCAAGAACCCATCTCTAAAAAAAAAAAAAAACAATTAGCCAGGTGTGGCAGCAGGCACCCGTAGTCCCAGCTGTTCACGAGGCTGAGGCAGGAAGATCTCTTGAGCCCAGGAGTTCAAGGCTACAGTGAGCTATGATTGTACCACTGCACTCCAGCCTAGACAACAAACCAAGACCCTGTCTCTAAGAGGAAAAAAAAAAAATTCAAAAGTCATGAATAACTGATTTAAAGAAAAAATAGAAAGGTCCAAAATACATCTGAAAATTCAACCTTTAATATTCAAATAAATGAAAATTAAATCATACTTATTGAGTGCTATGTTTCAGTTACTATTTATTCTAAACATTTTACTTGGATTTATTCCTCACAATAACCCTATAAAATAAGTGCTATCATTACCTCACAATGACCCTATAAAACAGGCGCTATCATTATGCCTACTTTACCACGATGAAATTGAAGGACAGAGAAGGTAAATGACTTACCTAAGGTCACCCAGTTAGTAAATGGCTGAGTCAGAATTCATCCCCTAGCAGGCTGGCTCCAAAGTCACATTCTTAACCACTGTGGTACAAGACCATGTCTTACCTGTTAGATGAAGAAGACAAAAAATACAACACCCAATGTTATCAAAAGCATGGGAAAACAGGCAATCTCATGTGCTGCTAATATAAGTTTACATTCTTAAGGGTAGTTTGGCTCCATGAATTGACATTTTAAATATGCATACCTTTTAACTCAGCAGGTGAATTTCTTGGAATTCATCCTGAAGAGATAGTGCACAAGCATGTAGAGATGTATATATCAAGTGTTTATCACAGAATGCTCACAATAATCAAAATATTGCAAATAAAAAGCCCAGTAAGTATACCAAATGTCCAACAAATTCATTCACTCAACAAATATTGATTGAGCATCAATGATGTACCAGGAACTGTTCTCAATACCAGGTATAGCGCATGGATAAAAGAAAAAAGGGCCAGGCATGGTGGCTGACGCCTGTAATCCCAGCACTTTTTGAGAGGCTGAGGAGGGAGGATTGCTTGAACCTACGAGTTTGAGACCAGCCTGGGCCACAAAGTGAGACCCCCATCGTTAGAAAACATTTTTTAAAATAGCTGGGTGAAGCAGCACATGCCTGTAGTCCCAATTACTTGAGAGGCTGAGGTAAGAGGATCACTTAAGCTCAGGAGATGGAAGTTGCAGTGAGTCGAGATCATGCCACTGCACTCTACTGTGGGTGACAGAGCGAGACCCTGTCTCCAATAAAAGGGGGAGAAACACTCATTCTATGATACAGAATGGGATGCTGCCTGATTCTAGCATAATAAAATAATCTTTAAAATAAAAATCCCCGTCTACATGGAGCTTATATTCTAATGGAGGGAAGTTAGGCAATAAGCAAATAAATGAGAAGAGTATATATCAGGTGATGCTAAATGCTATAGAGAAAAATACAGAAGGGAAGAGAGATAGGGAAGAAAGGGGGATTGTTATCTTGTTAAGGGAGTCAAAGAAGACCCCATTGATAACAGGTAAAACAAATGGATTAAATATTAGAGAATAATAGCAGTATGATATATCCACTCACTGAACTATAATTCAGCCTTTTTTTCTGTATTTATTGACATGAAAATGTCCTCAATCAAGTGAAATCAAGTGAAAAAAGATGATAAGACAGTAACAAGGTATGACTCCACTGATATAAAATTACATGTATATATATGCTCATATTCCAACTGGGAGAGTGGACCAACATCTAACAAGATTAATACTGAGTAAGGGTCCAGGCTGAGTGCCAGGCAACAGGATAAGCAGTATGTTTGTTCACACACCCATTCACTGATCCTCCTCCCAATACCTATACTTTGCTCCAGAAAGAATTTAAGGACAGCAAATCTACACACCCCCTCAAGTTCTTTATTTCTCTCATCCTTTCTCTCTTCTTCCCAGAAGCCAGGCCAGTGACAATGTGAAAAACGTACATAAAAAGGATGGAAGGAAACCTCTACAGAATCTGGATGGGATTCCTCTTATTTCAACACATAGGAAACAGGTCCTGGGAAGCACAACTCCTCCCTGCACACCTGCAGGATTTGAAGCAAGGCTACCTGACTCAGATTCCCTATTTTATCCCCTACTAAACCCAAGATGCCCTGCAGGGACAGCTGGGAGCAAGCCTGGCTCATCATATGGAGGTGACAGGCCACAGGAAGCCAGAGCACTACCCTTGGTACACAAGGCCTGTATCTTTCTATGAGCAGAAATGACAGAGTCAAACCGTTTTTGGCCCTTACCCTGTCCTCTCATCCATGCCTGTACTCATAAGCTATCCTGGCTAAGTTAATTCATGCTCAACCCCCCATATTCACCACCTTGCCCAGTTACCCCAGAGATTCACAGATTTCCCCAGTAAGAGACTAAGTGCCTACCAAGAAAGCTGCCTAGAGTGACCAGACATGTTAGTGTGATTCAAACATTTCCAGTCTTGGGTGAGGGTAGCCAGGGTTCAGATCTATCTGCTCTTAGATATGTAGGAGCAGACTACACTTCTTGTTTGACCATAAAGCCACAAACAAGGAACTGGAAACTTCCCAAAGGCGAAATCCACATTGTTGTTGCCTGTATCTTTAGCCTGGGGTGGGGGGGGTATAGGTACATGAGTGGAGGCAGGGCACCCAGGGAAAGACTCAACTACTTCAAAACATTTCTCACATACTGTCACCTTTTGGACACCAACTATAAGCCAGGCTCTATGTTAAGTGCTTTCATATACTACTGACAAAAAAAGCAAAATCACTTTTATCAAATATTCCTACTACGTGCTACTGAATTTAAGACGCCAAAAGCACATTCAGGTCCAGCTGCCCTGCCGATAGTTAAATATTCAGGCTTGATGTTAAGCAGAGGATAGAAACCTGAGATTCTCTCCTCAGGGTTATCACAGAAGTGTACATACTATCAAGTCAGATTCTTCAGGCTCCAATCTGGCTCCAGCTCTCTTACCTGTGCTTTCAGCAGGAAACATCACAAACACTCATGTACACATCTCAAGTCCCCAACACACTTGGTCTGCAAGTGGAAGAAATTTCCTGCTAGAAATGGGTACCACATGAGGTAGAAAAAACCAAAAGTAATCACACTTCTTCAGCAGAGGAACCTCTTTCTCTCTCCACTTTCATCTCTGCCAAATATGTATTTATTGAACAACTCATATTATGCTCATCACTACAGGATATAAGATGCCTCCTGCCTTCAAAAATTTACTCCATTAGGGAAAACAAAATCAACACATAGGAAGCATGTCATAAAAATAAGAGGACTCGCCGGGCACAGTGGTTCATGCCTGTAATCCCAGCACTTTGGGAAGCTGAGGCGGGTGGATCACAAGGTCAGGAGTTCAAGATCAGCCTGGCCAAAATGGTGAAACCTCGTCTCTACTAAATATACAAAAATTAGCCAGGCATGGTGGCAGCCTGTAATCCCAGCTACTCAGGAGGCTGAGGCAGGAGAACCGCTTGAACCTGGGAGATGGAGGTTGCAGTGAGCTGGTATCGTGCCACTGCACTACAGCCTGGGTGACAGAGTGAGACTTCGTCTCAAAAAATAAAAAAATAAATAAATAAGAGGCTCCAGGATTTCTAGTGCATGGAACAGGAAAAAAGAGATGCTGGTAAAACAAATGGAAAAGTATGTAAAATAAGACAAATGGTGGGATGTCCTGGTATATTAATAGCTATCTTCAATTTCAAATAACCACATCTCCCTTTTGGTTCCATTCCTAGTAGAGTGATATTTTACTTCAAGAAAATTTCCAATACAACATCTGAGACATAAAGTTGGGGATCATTCACAAGGCAAAAAGGAGTCTCCTCTTTGCTGTAAAGTTAACTAAGATATGATTTACCACCCCTCAAACTATCCTTGTATCATACATACATACATACATACCATACATACATATACATACAATCTTTATACCCAACTTTTCAGGATCACATTTATAAGGTGAAGCAAAGTAGTTTTAAAAAGTATTCAGGACAGGCGAGGTGGCTCACGCCTATAATCCAAGCACTTTGGGAGGCCGAGACAGGTGGATCACCTGAGGTCAGGAGTTTGAGACCAGCCTGGCCAAACATGGTGAAACCCTGTCTCTATTAAAAATACGAAAATTAGCCAGGCATGGTGGTGCACGCCTGTAATTCCAGCTACTCAGGAGGTTGAGGCAGGAGAATCACTGCGAACCCGGGAGGCAGAGGCTGCAGTGAGCAGAGATTGCACCACTGAACTCTGAAGACCACCGGGCAACAGAGCAAGACTCTGTCTCGAAAAAAAAGAAAAAGACACGTGCACATGTGTGTTTACTGCAGCACTATCGTTAAATGAGC